GCAGCCACTTGACGCTCATAGCAAGCCGCGATATTACTGCGACGTTGAAAGTTCCGTCGAATGTGAGATTAATGAGTCGACAGAAAGCCGGTAAACGTGCTTCATTATATGCTTTAATTGCACGGCTTTTGCTTGTTCGAAATATAAATCGGTTGACCTGCGTTATCGAGGGTCCTACGTTTGCCAGGATGTAATTTTATGCCAAATCTGCTGAATTCGGATTAGTTTCCATTGATCTCGAATTTGTCGATCCCACCGACTCAACTCTGTCTATTTCAGAGATTTCTACGTTGTCTATCTCTTTGATATACCTTTCTTCGAAATCTGTTGATCCGAAATGCCGCCTTTATTTATCGAATTGAAAAAATGGAACGTACAAGTGTTCCCGCATACGATCATTAAAATTCATACGCACGTTTTAATCACTATAGCGAATGTAATGGTAGACGTAACTCTGAAATCCCTCTCTGCATGCACTGGAAAAGGCATCGAGGCAAAGTGAAAGGGGAAGGAAATCGAAAAAGAAAGGGGGAAAAACGGGTCAGCGATTCCCTTTATCGGAACGTTACTCCTCCTTCGCTTTGGAGTTTTATCATCATCGTACTTGTATGTAAATACGCATGTCCGCGTGTGAGTCTATAGCTGAGAGAGTTCGGAACACAGCACGTATGACACGAACGAACAGAGGCACTTATATTCGCGAGCTAACCGCAGAAACTCGTGGTACGCGAGCGCGAATACAGTCACCGTGACTCGCTTCGACTAATTAAACGATATTTAAGCGAGCGGAAGGCAGAGGGGCATTGAAACGTAACGACCGACTGCGATTCATGCAAATTCAACGACTTCCGAGCCAAGCGTTTCTATCCTTCTCTTCCTCCCTTTTCTCCCTTCCCCTTATCTCTCCCTCTGGACCTTTTCCCTTTCCCTTTCTCTCTATCTCGGAAGGTGGCCTTTCGAAATCCCTTTGATTCGTGCGAATGAAATTGCCATAAATGACTTTCTCTCTACACTAAGACTCTTCGTCGGTACTTCATTCGACGGAGGAGTACTAGCGGAAATAGCATTAGACTCGATGAAATATTGGGAACAATTTTGAAAGATTCGTTTTTGCTCGAACTAAGATAATCGAAAGTTTTACTTCCTCGTTAGCAACCGGACGAAATTAAAGGAACGTCGCCGAGAGATACTTTCAAACTTGAGATTCGGAGCAATATCGGACGATTATGGTGGTCCAAGGATGCTGAGGGAAGAAAAAAGGAAAAAAAAGAGGAGAAAGAAGAAAAAAGTTAGAGACGGACATTTCTCGAGGAATAGCCTACCAGAGAAGTTGTGACCATACGACCGTGAGAAAAAAAATTACATCGCTTGTCGAGAGCAAAAACTTGCTGCAGCTGCACGTTAGACGCAATCCAGACACACGTGCACCAATCGTAAATCGCACCTTTCCTACGTAAAGAAGTTTTCTGGTCGGAAAATGTGAATTTCGCTTTGTGACGTCTTTCAATGTACGTACTTCTTCCTTTTCTCTCCCACTCTCTCTCTCCCTCTCTCTCTCTCCCTCTCTCTCTCTCTCTCTCTAAGGAGAAACTGTCGCGATACAAGTTTCACGAGGAGGAAAGTTTAGCATGGCCCGTTTCTAACTACGGGTATATCCTTAGTTAGGAACCCGAACACACGGGTGGTATGTGCACGGCAAGACAATGCATCACCCTTTTCCACCTCTCTTTCTCTCTCTCTCTCTCTCTCTCTCTCTCTCTTTGTCACGGTTATAGGGATCTGAAATAGGCAGTAATTTGGTTTCGCTACGAACGAGTATGAGAGAGAGAGAGAAAGAGAGAAAGAAGGCAAAGCTATACTCCAAGGAAAGTAGTAGTAGGAGGAAGCGGGCGTGCGTCTGCACAGCAAAGAGTTTACAGCGTTCATAAATTTCCTTTGACGCGGAAAGATCGACGATGCGTGACGTCGATAGATTCCAAATCTATCTCGCATCCCAACCTCCTTTTTTAATACTTTTATTATTATCTTGCCGAAAATATTATGAAGATTCTTTGACATTTGATTTAATCATACTTTTACTAGATAATAATTAACATGAAATTGTATCGATTGTCTCCGTTTTTTAATGTAATTGACCTAATAATTCTAGATTTTATTTCTATAAACTAGATTCGAGGGGTCTTCTAAAAATAGAACCCTCAGGTGAGGGATGCTGCAATGTCACGTGTGATGATCTAGAAAGGGCCAATGCACGATGAACAAGGTATTCTTTGAGATCGAAATATAGCCGGGGTAAGCTTTGTCCGTGTGAACCAAAGTCGACCACCCTCTTTCTCTTTCTCTCGTTCCTTCTTTCTTTCTTTAGGCATGCCATTGCGATGCTATTCACGCGCGTGCACTTCGACGGACAAGATATTTCGTCAGAGAACACGCTTTATTCTCATCGACGACTATCATATATATATATATATATATATATATATACGCTGTACAGGATTCGATAAATTGTACGAGCTGTCTTATATCGACGACAAAACGTTTCGTAGAACGTGTCGCACTGGATCTGACAGGTCTCTTAGTTCGAAAAGAACGCGTTAGTTACGGATGGCTGAATACTAAATATACATTTTTTGATATCATTAATTATTTGAGTGAGTTCAGACTTGATAAAAATAGAGCGTCATTCCATTATTTAAAATATCATAATTGCATTTACAATTATTTAAGAATCTCTTTTCGCCACAACAGCAACGAATTTACTTTCACCGCAAGTTCCGAGAAGGAAAACCGCATTGTCTCTTTAAGCGGTCAATCGATAGACCCCCGACTCAATAGCTTTGGTGCGAAAGAAAAAGGAAAAAGAAACTCGAGCCAATTTATCTTCTTAACACGTCCTTTAATCAGATTTAGCCTTCCCTAAATACACTCCTCCCTCGATAAAGGAACCGAGTCATTGTTGTGGTGGTTACCTCGAAAGAATAGCGTACGAGTGGACATACAACGCACAGTTATCGACGATATAGAGGGTATATAGGATACTCGGCTGGCTCGTCGTTAACGTTCGCTCCAGAGGACAGTGCGAGAGAAGCGGAAGAGCTACATAACAGGAAGAGGGAGGTCGACGCGAAGGAGAGAGAATAGATACGAGCTTCCTACGAGGGAGGAAAAGATTTATGATGCTCGTGCGTCAGCCAGCACGTCTCAATTTCGGGATGCCGCGAGTCAGGAGCCGTACTCGGTTCTCTCTCTCTCTCTCTCTCTCTCTCTCTCTCTCTCTCTTTTTTCCCTTTGTTGTCCTACGGGGAGATGAGAGAAAAGGAGAGAAAAGAGAAAGAGGGTGAGAGGATAGTACGGCGATAAGAGGAGCGGGCAACAAAAAAACTCGCTGAGATAGGGGTTGGTGCGGGCGAGAAGAAAGAACACGGAAGCCGTCGAACCGAGCAACGTGCGCGAGCTCTGCGAACTTTCTTCCCTTTTTTTAGCACATCGTTCCTCGCACACCTTGGATTACGTCGAAGTAAATGCTTGGCCGCTTCTATTAACCCTTTTCTTTTTACTCCCATTTTTCACCACATTCACCTACGGCTTCTTCATGGCAAGAGTTTATCAAAACTCGTTAATATCGAAATGAACTTTTCATTGGATAATGTGAAAGCTGCCCATAGAACTCTGGTTATTAGTTATACGAAAATAGAAAGTTGTACGAAACTATATTTGTAAATCGTTTGATTTCGTTTTCATTTCAGATCTAGAAATTCGAGTCGTCCGGCTTTTTCGCAAAAAAGTTTTCCTTCGTCTCAAACATAGCTCAACTTTTACTATGTACTCTGATAAGATTTTATCGAAAGTGGAAATAAAAGGAAGAAATTAAATCTCTCAGCGGTTTCCACAGGAAAAATAACGCACGGTTGAAGATACATCTATGGCTCGTAAATTCCGTCAGTGGAGTTCGAGTTTCACGACGATTTCTCTCTTTCTTTTACTCTACTCCGAGGATCCGTCCTAAGTAAACACGCGTCTCTCCTTTGTTTCAAGCTCGACGGGTTACAAAAAGAAGTCGTTGTCTTTCTACCAAAGGCACATTATTTTTCCTCACCGTACAAATTTTCCCGCGATAAGCCAGAGGGTAGAGAAAGATAAAGAGAGAGAGAGAGAGAGAGAGAGAGAGAGAGAGAGAGAGAGAGAGAGAGGGAGGGAGGGAGGGAGAGAGAGAGAGAGAAAAAAAAGTCATCGATTAGTTGCAGTCGCCGGACAGAAAGCAAGGATCGCGAGGAGCCGATAAAACGGAGCGACTATTAACGCCGGAAATTGCGGAGAATCGTCGATTATTCCGTCGGCAGAGAAAACGCCAACGAATTCGAAAGTTCACGATGTGATCCTCGCCGTGCTTGCCGAGAGGACAATTTTAATATGACTTTTATGAAACGTTCTCGCTCTTATTTTACTTTGAATAACACGGAACGCGATATCGTTTCCAGTTTGAAATTTTCCGCGTGAAAGCTATCCGGAAATATTCTCTAGAATTATTCGCATTCCGTTCTTAGGACTTTCGCGAAGCAATCACGAGTTCCTTTTACATAACACAAAGGAGAGATTCGCCTACACGTTTGCCCTTTTCTATTTAAAAAATTGCCAATATGTACGATCGATTCTTTCTTACATAGCGAAACGACAAAGGAAGTAATCTTTCGAGATCGAAATTTACGCTGTTTCCAGAGCTCTTTGTTCGCAAAAATCGAAGACGCTATCTTCTCACAGATTGTATTGTTGTACTTTGCGAGATAAGGTACTTTTTTCTCTCTTGAATAGAAACTTTCGATGTATAAAATTGTTAAGATCGCTCGACAAAGGACACATTTTTATTTGCAACAGTTGCAGAATATTGTCCTCTTTAGTAGCGACAATTAGTACTCTATCTTCTTCGATTCTGAGAAATGAAAGAGAAACGAATTGGTTCAGGTGGCATCGTCCGTTAGACTAAAGAGGAAGAGGAAACGCACCTGGTGGACAATTGCACTCGGTGACGTCGCGTTTGATCCTGAAGAGTGCCGCCGAGGCAGCACTCGCGGGTGCGAGCCTGTGTTGCTCAAATTCTTCGCGCAGCTCCCTCCTAAGCCTCTGCACGAGGACATCCGGCGTCTCCTGGATCCTGCATCGGGCCTCCAGACTCCCGATTCTCGATTCCAAGCGCATCTCGCGATACGTCAGTATCCCTGACACAGCGAGACTCGCGAGACAGAGGGCGCACATCATCCAATTTATACAGGACTCCTTACGGAAGTTCATCGTCATCGTCGGAACGATCGGCGTCGACGTGATAATGTCGTCGTTCGCACGATTACGTTCCTTCTTTTCCCTGGGCGCGTTCGGCAAAGAGGACCACTCGGTGACAAGTCCCGAGGACTCCATCTTCTCCACCTCCTCAAGATTCTCCACCGATTCGAAGACTTCAGGCGCGCCTCATAATCGACTTCCAATCGATCTTTCCCTTTACGAGCGATTCCACGCCGGCATTGTCCGGTTGGAAGCACGCAGCATGCTTTTCCTAGCGTTACTCGAGGTCTTTTCTTTCTATATGTGCGTATACAAGATATATATCTTTTCCTTCGATCGATCAATCCCACTCGCGTCTAATCGAACGTACGATCGAGTACCTACTCGGATTAACTATCGCGTTACACGTTTCCAACAACAAGTCTCTCCTTTCCTTCAAACTACCAACAAACCGACTAGTATAGCAACTAGGTATAGCAACTCTCCCGCGAAATACAAACTTTCTATCGTGCAAAACGCGCGCGTCCAAGGAACTTTTGTTCTTTTTCGAAATAAGAAGAAATCTCTCTCTCTCTCTCTTTCTCTTTCTCTTTCTCTTTCTCTCTTTCTTCCTTGAGGAAAGCTAAAGAGTCACGTTCGGGGAAAAAGTAACTCGGGAATGGCGCGAATACGAAGCTCACGGTATGGCATTCGCAGTACGACTGGATGTGGTGGGGCGACGCTCCGTTGAGGGCCGAGGGTTCGTCGGTTCGCGCGCGCTCGCCTTCGCTCGGCCGTCTTCGTGGTCTCTAGCCACCGACTCATCCACCGCCGACCGGCGGCGGACGCGCGTGGAGGACGATCGCTCGACCTAACGTCCACTTCCATTCGCACTGATTCGCCCCCACTGCCCCCCACCATACACGTTCTCAGACCCCACCACCTTCATGCCGCCTCCACACGTTCGTTCTCTCTCTCTCTCTCTCTCTTTCTCTTTCTTGCACCACCATCAGACACAAGCATTGCCACAGCCACCGCTCTCGAGGCTCCTTTTTTCTTCCTTGCCCGTTTTTTCCTCGCTGCCCATTATCCACTCGGATTACACGGTTGTGAGCACGAACAGGACTCCGAAACTTCTGCGTCGCGATCTTCAAAACTCGAAAGGGCTACGTATTCGACCGGTTGTCGCAAGAGAGAGAAAGAGAGAGAGAGAGAGAAAGGAAACGGGATGTTCGATAGGCTCGTGTCGAGTGTCGCCAAGTTTTACGTTCACTGTCGGCCATCGAAACTCCGACAAATTGAGCGGTCCGTCCAGCGTGACAGCTTAATTCCTGACCGGCATCCTTCGCGACTATCAATTAGTAGATCGCCGCTTGTCGATTCGAACGAACCTCTCTTCCGCCTACCTACGAAAGGGGAATTTTAATAGGAGAACTCAACGCTAACACACATCGCTAGGGGTGTCCCTAAGTGTACGCACAAACACGTTTACGAAGGACTTCATAATCGACTGAGATCGATCGATCGAATCGAAATACTAGCTCGACGGATATATGCACGCGTGCTTTCTCTCTCTCTCTCTCTCTCTCTCTCTCTTTCTCTCTTTCTCTCTCTGTACATCGGCGACCCCTCTTTGCTACCGCCCAATCGCCGACGGAGGAAGCGATTATGGACTACATCCTGGAACGTATCTACACCGTATGAACGTATGTACGTATGTTGTACGTTCGATGCGATGCTGAATCGACCGTCCTGACATCCTCGTGATGTCCACCGTAGAGAGAAAACCATAGGGGGGCTGATAGGAAGCTGGACGATCATGGGAAATCGATTGGAAATTTAATTTTCTTAGTCTTTTAACGTATCCTTGTTTTTCAATGAGTCTCGATAATGACAGGAGAAAGAAGTGAATCTTAATTATCATAAATGATTTCAGAGAGATCGATGAATATGCAATTTAACGTCAGTCAAATCTGAAGCATTCTACCTTAGTTAGAAAACAGCTGAGACAGCTGTGCAATCAAAACTTATCGACTCATACTCCTATTCTGTATACCAGTTAAAAAAAAACTTTAACATCCATTAATAGCTTCGTGCACGTGCCAACGATGAACGTCGGACATAGTTTTCCAGTCGGCCAAGTGGAAGTCGAACTTGTCCATTCCTCATTTTGGTCTGTTCACTAAGATCATCTTACTTTCAATATCCTTTTTTAAAAGATCGAACGTCATACTATGCAGGATTATTCTCTGTAATCGAATTAAGGCTATATCCAGTATGATATTCGATCGGATCGAAAAGAGAAACTTGTGGGAAAGAATACTCCAGGCATTATTGGAAAAGTAATCCGTATTTGTTCTCATCCATCAGAACTGATATGATGTTACAGCTGGATATATGAAAAAAAAAGAAACAAAACAAAAAGAAAAAAAAAAATCAGAAGAAAAAAAATCGCAAGAAAGAATCTGAAATAAAACTCATAGCAGAAAATCAACACTATTTTACGTATAGGTTTTCGCTCTCTTCTAATTTCATTCGTACAATCAATTTCCCACGGAAAAAGAGAGACAGATGTATATACAATAGGAAGCTATTTACATAGGCACTGACACGTAACGATGTTCCACGCATTTGTCGATTGAACGCGTTTAAAACGAGAAGAGAGACATATTGTGGCATAAAGATTACGATATCGATAAACGTAGAAAGAATGTATCTACTAGCTCATTATCATTGGCGCATAGATACATTGCTATAAGTTATAAAATGCTAAGTTGGGAAAAGAGAAAGCGAGCGGGTAAACGTTCCTTTGACACTTGGAAATGGAAAACATTTTGTAGTTGGGCTCTTTTGGAGACGCACGCGTCGCATTCCAATCCGCTGTCGTCCCAAATTCCCTCGAATCGTTTCGTAGAACCTATCTCCTTGCCTTTTCTCGGTCAAACTGATATTTGTCGATTGAGAAGAAAAAAGTAGAGGTTAAGGACAGAGAAGTGATATTTTTCATTTCGTTTCGTTCGCTCTTTCAAAAGGGCTTCTTTCTTTATCTCTCAGCGTGACCGCGTCCACTTAAGAACTTACACGGACGAATCACCGAAATTTACTGTCTTTTAGCACGCATATCGTGGATTTTAAGAGCGGTGAAATGTTTCATAAATTTCACTCACCTCGCCGCTGAGATAAGCGTAATGTTTTTTGGAAAAGTGATCGGTAAGAGTAAGCTTTTCGATTCGAATTGCGTCCTTAGATATTTTTTATAATTTTCACCTATTCCATCGATTTATACGATCTTCGTGGGAAGTCCTCGTTTCTCAGGCAAACGGAATTTCATAAAGAACAAGAAATAGAAATATAACCCATTCGATGGTACATTTCGATGTTCAATATTTCTCAAATTGCGTCTCATATGAAATACCCATCTTCATAAAAGCAAGTGAAATGGGAGAACCTTATGAGACACTCGTTCGAATCCATAATGTCAAAGTATTTATTAAAATTTAATTGTGAAAGGAATAAGAAATGAACGTTGAGAGCCACGGTGATGCGATCGTGTATCGAGGGGTGAAGTTTCTATCGTTGTGGTTAAAAAGTCATCACGGCCGATGCCCTCTTCACGGCACGTTGGTCATCGTTGGGGTGCGGTAGGAGTCGCATTATGTCGCGTTTCCGCCAGGAAACAGGCGCAGTCGGGACATCGACAGTCTCCACCTCATTTCCGAGCCACTCCGAGCTAGGATCCGTGTTCTATGGACCGCGTAGGCGAATCTCCAAGAAACTAACCACGATACAAATCCTTTTTCTTCCTTCCGCTCGAGATGTAATCTGCGGAAATCATCTCCAACCAGTTTCATACAAGTTATTGCACTTTATTTTTCTTGCCACTTCTGTCAGTAATTATACGTTGACTTAAGCTTTCTTTTTCAATGATAACCTTGACGCGTTAAGGAAGTTGTCATTTAATCGTACAACTTTGTTATCATTCTGCTTCATTGAAAAATTTTTTCTCCTGAATCCTTTATTTCCAATCGTACCTGCATACATGTCGTTTCATTACTTTTTTCTATAAACTCGTAGCAAAATACATACATAAGTATCAATCAAACAGATCGTGTAATGTTTTCAACCCTTTAGCTTTCAACTCGTTACACGTTTATTTGTCAGTTTATAAAGACTCAACGTTTGGCCGACTCCTCCGCGAATGGGTCGATCGATCGTAGCTAAATTCCGCATTAAGGTGTTCTCCCTCTCGCATTTATTCCGTCCGCAACTATTTCAAGAGATGTTTAATGAGATTTCATATATGAAGGTTCACGCTAAAGAAAGTCTAACCAATTTAGACGAACCCAATTGATTTAATTTCGATGCGAAAAATGATGATTCCAATTCGAACGCCAAACACATCTCCGAAATAACGAATGTGCATACTTAATCTTTGTTCCCATTAACTATTTTGACGTACGACTCATACTGCGGAAACGATAACAGACAACCCGACGTCGATTCTATTTCGAGAAAATCGATCTAAAACGTGGAAAATCAAATAAACTCTCACAGTATGTTTGTACGGAAGGCAAGCTGGAGTTGTATGTAAAAATGTGTTGTCGCAAAAAAAAAAAGCAAATACAAAAAAAGAAAATAAAAATGAATGAAATATAAATGCGTTGGGACAGTGTAAAGAGAATTATCATCGGAAATACCGAATTCCGGCATCAGCAGTTGCAACATTTTTCTCGATTACGTCGATGAGATAAATCACGATAGGTGAAAAAAATGAAAAATCGTCGATTTTCCAATAAATCGTGACTTTAACGAATAGATCGATTGGTCCAATCGCTAATTCAAACCTTTACAATTCGTTACGTTTGTTCCTGGTGAGCAAAGATAAAAGGGCTTCGAACTCAAGACAATTATTTCGGGGATTCGAACGATAACGAGCATTGATAGTCTATCGATTTTTTGCTCGAACAAAAAGAAGAGAGAGAGAGAGAGAGAGAGAGATAAAAAAATGAAAGAACGGATAAGAGAGTAAGAGAAGGGTGAAGGGACAAGCGTGGGTCGACGGACACGTTCCACAGCTCTAAAACAGCCTCTCATTTCGGGGGCGAATCGGAATCCAGCCCTGCGAATGTGTCTGCACGTGCAGTCTCTCTCTCTCTCTCTCTCTCTCTCTCTCTCTCTCTCGCTCCCTCTCTTTCGTAGGAAAGAGAGAGGGCTGCACGTTTTGCGCGAGGGAGGAGGGCAGTCAATGCGCAGTTTGTATTCCGCTCGGCAGAAAAGACTCGTTCGTTACCGTATACCTCCCGACGCACTCGGCAAAACTCGTCGTCGTCTCTTGCTCTCATACTACTGTCACCCTCTCTTTCTCTCTTGTTTTCTCTCATCGTGAACCAGCTTCCCCTTCTCTAGTCGCACCAAACTCGTGACTTTGTATTCATGACGATATGCCGACGAAAGATATGCGTTCAACGCGACGTATTAATTTTCCATTAATGGAAATCGCAAAACGTTTTCCACACGAATCTCCAGTCATGCTCTTGGAAGAAAGGACCAAGCGATGGCCCCTTTGAATACCACGAAAGAACCATCAGTTGTCTTCAAAACCAAATATTTGTGAGTTGTCATCAATTTGTGGACGGTGATTAATTTCATCAGATTGCAAGTCAACTGCTATACTTTTCATTGATGTGGATGTACAGTTTAATAGAACACGATGTATGTGTAATCGTTATTAATTTGGTTTTTAGATTGCCGCATGACAAATCTCGATAGAAATTTTCTCTTTTCTTCGTGAACATAATGGATACCTTTAAGCCTTTCATTATCCTCTATCTTGA